TATGTTTAACTGTGATAAATTCAAGTTATTTTCTGTTGTCTAAATGAAAACTTTATTAATATCACCCTTTAGTTTTTCAGTGTCTTCTACACAAGTGCTGATTTGTATTTTTTCATGCTGATTTTTATGTCTACAAAGGATAACACAAAGCTGTGATTTGTATTTTTGTCTATATCTGATATGAGAATTAAAGCAGTGGTGCAAGGACTGTGCCCTTCTTGAGTGATGACGTAGGGTTATCTTGAGATGATTTCGGGGCTTTTTAGTGTCCCCGCGGCCCGGTCCTCGACCAGGCCTCCACCCCCAGGAAGCAGCCCGTGACAGCTGACTAACACCCAGGTACCTATTTTACTGCTAGGTAACAGGGGCATAGGGTGAAAGAAACTCTGCCCATTGTTTCTCGCCGGCGCCCGGGATCGAACCCGGGCCACAGGATCACAAGTCCAGCGTGCTGTCCACTCGGCCGACCGACCGCCCTGCAGTAAGAGCTTTTTACTGTGATTGAATTTGATTTTGTTTGACTGTTACTCTTTGCATTCTGTTTTGACAGGAAATTTAATATCCATTGCCATACTATACCTGTTGTTCCAGTTGATCTCATTTTATATGATGCTATCATTCCATGGTCACACTTAAATGAATTTGTAAAATCAGTTGTTTACCACATCTGCATTTTGTTATTCTTCTAATGCTTCTGTGATCTTGTCATATTGGTCAAGTAACTGCGAAAGGCATGGTCTTCCGGCTCTAAATCCATGTTGACCTGGGTTGTGAAGGTCATTATTCTCCATGAAACTCTAGATCTGTCTCCTGATAATTCTTTCCAACTCTTTTATTATGTGTAATGTTAGCATGACTTGTCTGTAGTACCAAGTATCCAGTCACTGCTGGGTGAACAGCGGCATACAGTTCAGGACTGGCACCTAGTCAATCCTTTCCAGCCAGGATATGAAACTGGGCTAAATTTCTCACAAAGTGCATTTCTAGCATACATTAATATACCGTAAAGAAATTTCAGAAATACAACACCATCCCTATTACTCTCACCCTTCCCAATGCTGTGGGGATTGCATGCACTAGGAGTGCAGTTAAATGTGTCTTGTGGAACATTTTGTATAGCGAACAGTACAAAACAATTTTTTTTGCGTAATGTGACATACAGATACAGTACAGTACTTCATTTTTAAATGAGACACTTTGGATAAAATGTGTGCAAAATGGAAGGATATGAAATTATCATATGCCTATTCAAATTGACAGCACCCCCATAGTCCTGAAATAGTCTGGTAGCTAAAATATTCCTTCACTCTGTGGTCCTATATTGAAATACAGTAGCACCATGCCCTATGGACCAGTATTCATATCCACAATCCCTACGTTATGTAAAGGTTTATTATAGGGAGACCTTTGACAAGCCACAGGCTTCCTGTTCTCATCGAAGCCCGTTAGCTTGGCCTAGTGTTATCCTAGTAGCGAACAGGTTATATAAATTTAGTCCTAAGGCTTTTACCTGTAGTGGGTTCCGAGAGTTCTACTCACCATAGCCTGGGGCTAGGGCCTAGTGGTAGAGCCTAGTGCTAGGGCCCAGTGGTAGAGCCTAGTGCTAGGGCCCAGTTGTAGAGCCTAGTGCTAGGGCCCAGTGGTAGAGCCTAGTGCTAGGGCCCAGTGGTAGAGCCTAGTGCTAGGGCCTAGTGGTAGAGCCTAGTGCTAGGGCCTAGTGGTAGAGCCTAGTGCTAGGGCCTAGTGGTAGAGCCTAGTGCTAGGGCCTAGTGGTAGAGCCTAGTGCTAGGGCCTAGTGGTAGAGCCTAGTGCTAGGGCCTAGTGGTAGAGCCTAGTGCTAGGACCTAGTGGTAGAGCCTAGTGCTAGGGCCTAGTGGTAGAGCCTAGTGCTAGGGCCTAGTGGTAGAGCCTAGTGCTAGGGCCTAGTGGTAGAGCCTAGTGCTAGAAGCATATAGTTACCGAGACAACGGTTGATATTTGTATAATAATTTTACCTTCTCAATTTGCATACGAATAAAGGAACACTGCGGCAAGCCTATTGGCCCACGCTAGTTGTGTGAGAGTACTGGAACCACCCTAAGTTCACTCTACTATCACTGGGGAATGAAATAACTTAATTGGATAGCAGCAATGGCGACAGTCACAACTTAAATATGGCATAGTATAAGATACCTTCTAACTTTGTAAAGTTGTTGAGGGTTGGGCGTAGCTAGAGCACACGGCCGTGGGAGGCAAGTTGTTGTGAAGCCAGACAACGTGATGTTATGGTGGGGGAGACGAGCTTATTATCAACCTCATTATTATAGCTTCAGAAAATTGCCAGATTTTAAGGGAATTGGAAGATTATATTTATAAAACTAATTAAACATTTATTTAAGCCCTGTTTATACCAATATTAGACACAGTTTTGGAATAATAGGTGCAATCAGGTTAAGTTGTCAATAAAAAATATATATTTATATTTTTGGGTAGGATGATTGATACTCACGCTGGGGATAAATTACTTCATTGTAATTATTATAAGTAAATTAATTAATTAATAAATAAAATATATAAAATTAACAAGGAATTAAAAGTGAACAAATTATAACATGATATTATTATTTCTTTCTTTATTATGTTAAGCAAATAACAATGTTTGACGCTAGTTACAAAATTATTAATGTTGTATACACATGTACACACTCTCATACATACATGTACATATATATATACTGCAGAGGGCCTATTGGCCTATATTTCTTGATGCTTCTATATTGGTGCGGAGTCTTGAAGTGGTTCAAGTTCAAGTTCAAGTATGTTTATTGAGATAAGCAATAAATACATCTCAAAGGGATAGCGTAGCTTAGGCTATTTCTACCCCCCTCTACTTCAAGTCCCTCAAAGGGCGCACAAATTCAGTGAGTACAAATAGACATATAACAGTACAAGAATCCCATTTAACATTGCATACAGCAAGTATGAAGTGGGTAGAATATAGTTGTGCATTAATTGGCTGTTGAGTGCTGGTGTTGATTAATGTGTAGTGCCTCGCATATTATATTTTTTTCAAATATAAATTAATATTGTTAAATATTAGCCTACTGTGCACATTTAGGCACTGGTTAGGTGTTTAGGTTTTGTTGGCGATTAATTGTATTTGTCAGCCCGTCCTCGACTCAAGTCCATTACATCCGGCGGTCGACCCCACAGACGCATTCATAAAATTTTATCATGCTGTTCATTCAAAATGGGAATTTTCTCAGATATAAATTAATATTATAATATGTTAGTATATTATATATATTAGTATATTATAAGCACTTGTTCCGGAAGTGTCCGAACGAAATCAGTTGTGTTTGTATTACTAAATACACATAATCGCCAACAGAACCTAAACACCTAACCTAACCTAACATATGCCTATATATGCACAATATGCTAATATATTATAATATTAATTTATATTTGAGAACATTCCGTTTGAATGAACAGCATGTAAAAGTTTATGAATGCGTCTGTGGGGTCAACCGCTGGATGGAATGGACTTGTCGCAGATGGGTTGTATGTAAACCGTTTTTCATTCATAAACAGGGAGTTTGGCGGGCTCATGGAATCACTTTTGGGTCTTTGTTTGGAGGACGGGCTGCATTTATAGATTAGTGGTTCGAATAGAGGACGTGAGCGAAGCACTTGTTCCGGAAGTGTTCGGACGTCATCAGTTGTGAGTCGTATGTAAACCGCTTTTCATTCATAAACAGGGGCATATATATATATCGCTCACCATTTGGTCCGGGAGACATCTCCCGTCAAGCAGGGTGCAGTCGCACCTCCACAGATCTCCAGTATCATCTATTGATACTGGTGATGGCTCAAAAGGGCCACCACTTACGAGCTATTCATGCCTGTGCCACCTTTTGGGTGGCTTCATCTTCATCTTAACACATTCACAAGGGAGACATCTCCCGTCATGCAGGGTGCATTTGCACCTCCACAGATCTCCAGTATCAGCTCCTGATACTGGTAATGGCTTAAAATGGCCACCACTTACGGGCTATTTATGCCCGTGCCACCTTTTGGGTTGCTTCATCTTCATCTTAACACATTCATAAGGGAGACATCTCCCGTCAAGCAGGGTGCATTCGCACCTCCACAGATCTCCAGTATCAGCTCTTGATACTGGTAATGGCTCAAAAGGGCCACCACTTACGGGCTATTCATGCCCGTGCCACCTTTTTGGGTGGCTTCATCTTCATCAATCTTCATCAATCGGCCAGGAGACGGCTGTAGAAACCAGAGTCACCATCTGGTCACCATTTGGTCCGGGAGACATCACCCGTCACGCTGGGTGCAGTCGCACCTCCACAGGTCTTCAGTATCATCTATTGATACTGGTGATGGCTCAAAAGGTCCACCACTTACGAGCTATTCATGCCCGTGCCACCTTTTGGGTGGCTTCATCTTCATCTTAACACATTCATAAGGGAGACATCTCCCGTCATGCAGGGTGCATTCGCACCTCCACAGATCTCCAGTATTAGCTCTTGATACTGGTAATGGCTTAAAAGGGCCACCACTTACGGGCTATTCATGCCCGTGCCACCTTTTGGGTGGCTCAATCTTCATCAATCAATCATCAATCCAATGTGTGGCGCAGGGTGCAGTCGCACCTCCACAGATCTCCAGTATCATCTATTGATACTGGTGATGGCTCAAAAGGGTCACCACTTACGAGCTATTCATGCCTGTGCCACCTTTTGGGTGGCTTCATCTTCATCTTAACACATTCACAAGGGAGACATCTCCCGTCATGCAGGGTGCATTCGCACCTCCACAGATCTCCAGTATCAGCTCTTGATACTGGTAATGGCTTAAAAGGGCCACCACTTACGGGCTATTCATGCCCGTGCCACCTTTTGGGTGGCTTAATCTTCATCAATCAATCAATCTATATATCGCTACAGACTCCTGTGCCAGGTAAGTCCACTACGGGCTCACCATAGCCCGTGCTACTTGCCCCGCTCCTGTGCCGGGTAAGTTACGGGCTCACCATAGCCCGTGCTACTTGGAACTTGTTCCGAGTAGCTGAATCTATAACAACACCTGGGAAGAGGCGAGTAATTGACCTGTGGGCCCCAGGTCAATCACACTGACCTTCCTCTGGGTCTACAAGGACCATCTCCAAGCTACGCAATCCAGCTCCATATTTTGATGCTTGTTAAGTAACCCAGACACATAAGTATAACTTTTAATGATATTAGCAACATTATACAAATATAAATACACAAAGTACGCTGTGTAATCCTATGTAATATTTTTATTAAATTATTATTATTATCGCATTGCGAGTAAATATCCACACACACACAGTAAAGTCAATAACAAAATAAATTACGTACATGAAAACAAACAACAATTTCAAAATAAAACAACAAATTTAACATGTAACAGTACAAATTAACACGCAACAGTACACATATTAACACGCAACAGTACACCGGTTAACACACAACAGCCTAGCCTGGGGATGGGTTCTTTCGTTCACAAACAGATGGGAGACTCGGGAAGAGGAAGGTGAGGAGTCCTGCTGGATCACCCAGCTACTTGGTCAGTGTTTTGAGTTTGGGTATCCTATGTCGCCTCGTTGTCCGTCTGTCCTGGGTATTGGGAATACAAGCTGAAGCATTTATAACTGCCGTGTCTACTAGGCGTGGTAGCTGCCGTGTCTAGCAGGCGAGGGAGCTGCCGTGTTCAGTAGGCGAGGTAGCTGCCGTGTTCAGCAGGCGAGGCAGGTGCCGTGTTCAGTAGACGAGGAAGCTGCCGTGTCCAGCAGGCGAGGTAGACCATTCCAGACATTAGCAGAGAGGAGAAGCAGCCGCAAAGAGACGGGAGACTCAGCAGGGGATCTGGGTGTAGTTGATGGAAAAGCCGCCATTGTTGTCAGTCGGCGCATCTTCACCGTTAGTCACCACTCGAATCTCGAAAGGCTCAGAGAACGCTACAGAATAGACAAAACATTCAATTTAGCACTGCCTATACCAATATTTTTAAATAAATGCACAACTCATACAAACACACACAATCCAATAACTAAGAGCCGGGGATTAAGAGCTGGAGCTCTCTCCTCATAACCAATTCATTAGAGGTATTAGATTCTCAACGTTACTGGCTGTTTTTAAGTCGACAAAGCTAGAGTTTCTGGAGTGTAGTAGAGGATCAAAGCTCACGAGGAGGGTAGGAACTGAAGAGGACTGTAGACTACTGCAGAGGAATTCAATTGATTCAAATGAGATTACTGTATAAGGTAGACAGATGGCTACTAAAGTTTATTCCAAGCAAGTGTAAATTGTCGATGATGGGGCAAGGGAAGAGGCGACAGAAAGGGATCATGAGTTACATAAATAAAAAAAAAGAGAGAAGGATGTAGGAGTAGATGTGAGGTGAGAAACACGCAGGGAATACACAGACAAAGGATAACATCAACAACATACTCGACACTAACAAACATCTGGTTTGTTGTCGAGTTTGTTGTCTTGAGACTCAAGACAACAAACATGGTCTCCGTTCCGCTCAAGAACGATTGATTGATTGATTGATGAAGATTAAGCCACCCAAGAGGTGGCAAGGGCATGAATAGCCCGTAAGTGGTGGCCCTTTCGAGCCATTACCAGTATCAAAAGATGATACTGGAGATCTGTGGAGGCGCAACTGCACCCTGCGTGACGGGAGATGTCTCCCGGACCAAGTGGTGACCAAATGGTGGCTCAAGAACGCTAAGCTGCGGCATTTTATATATTGTCGCCGGAAGAGGCATGTTTATTGTGCATGGGAAGCACAGTGACCTAGCCGTGAGGCGTGCAGGAGTTAGGCAAGTGGAATGTACTCGGAGCTGTGGACGCCATACCCCCCTGTGGGGCATGGAATCTTCCATAACTTCAGATTTATATTATTCATATGCCAAGACATTATTTCAAATCAAAACTAAGCTGGAAAGAACAAAAAAAATATATAATCCTCAGGAACAATGCGACTGGGGGTGGGGGTGGGGGGTAGAGGGGACCTTTGACAAGCCGGCGGCTTCGTGTCCCTATCAAGGCCGCAAGGACAGTTACAGCCCCGCTCCTGTGCCAGGTAAGTCCACTACGGGCCTCACCATAGCCCGTGCTACTTGGAACTTTTGTTTCGAGTAGCTTATCAGGCTGCGAGCAGCCGCGTCTAACAGCCTGGTTGATCAGTCCAGCAACCAGGAGGCCTGGTCGACGACCGGGCTGCGGGGACACTAAGCCCCGGAAGCACCTCAAGGTAGCCAAGGTAGGTAGCTGAATCTAAAACAACAACAACATCGGGTAAATAAAGTCACTTACTGGTCAGGTCAGAGAAGGTGGTGCCACAGCGACGGTCAGAGACGCCGGCGGTGCCATTCTTGGCCACGGTGGGGATGATGAGGAAGTCACTGCTGCACTGCCCAGCTGCGGTAACTGGTGCGCCAGGGTAGGTTAGGGCACAACAGGTTAAGGTAGGTTAGGTTAGGGTTACATTTACGTTGAGTTAGCTAATGTTATCTGAGAGCCCTTCTTAGTGCTAGTCTACGTGCACAGGCTCCCCTGTGCACCTAGGTACACTCACCCATCCCCACTACCACACATCCTCCCACCTCTACCCATCTAGACCCACCTGCACTCACCCGTCGCCCACCAGAAACACCTACCTGGTGGTGACATGGTGAAGTTGTTGGCTGTGTATCTGATGCCGCAGAAGCCTTCCTTGGTCTTGATGCACGCCGTGTACAGCTGATTGGCCAGCTTCTTCCCCGTCCCAGCTGTCTGTTGGTGAGACAAGTGAGTCAGGTGAAAGGTGGGGAGGTCACACAGGTGGAGAGGTCACACAGGTGGGGAAGTCTCACAGTTGACATGTGGGAGAGATGGATGAAGAATGGCTGAAAAGAACTGGGAGTAGCAGACTGGTACATTAGGCAAATATTAAGTGAGGTCGAAAGGTAGCTAGGTGGATAATTTGTCACACCACAACTCTATCACATTAGTATGATAAAAACATTCTCAGGTCTGAAGAGGAAATGGGTTCTAGATTGTCAGGGTCAGTTGGACACTCAAGAGCAAGTATTTTGTCACAGTTCTCAGTTTTAAGGCAAACTATTAAATATATGTTATAATCAGAGAAGGATTCTAGTTTTTCCAACAGCCAAGGAAGACTAACCCAGCTCTCTCTCTCTCTCTCTCTCTCTCTCTCTCTCTCTCTCTCTCTCTCTCTCTCTCTCTCTCTCTCTCTCTCTCTCTCTCTCTCTCTCTCTCTCTCTCTCTCTCTGGGGATGAGGACTCACCTGGTAATTAAAGGAATTGATGGTGCCAGAGTAGTCGGTGTAGTACTGGAGACAGTTGGGTGGCACTGTTGGGGAGAGCAGAGTCGGAATTAAGTTTTGTTGTTTTAGTTAAGGTAGGTTGATATGATCACAGCATACAAAACACCTCATTTTCTCGTAGGTGAAGCTGGGTGAAGATAAACACACAACAATACACAACAATACACAATAATAATAATAATAATAATAATAATAAGCAAATTTAAAGTAAATATGTTTAGATAAAGATTGAAGACAGTTATTCCAATAAACGACTAATAGTTCCAATGGTAGGGCTTAAGAGCTAGCGCTCGACCTTGCAATTACATCTAGGTGGGTATGCATACACATAAAAAAGATGCAAGAGAATATGTACATCTACAGGAATAGTTTAAAAAGTGATTGCTAGAACTTAACCCCCAATCAATGCAAGACATGCAACAAACCCTTATTAATGGTAGAGGATTTGGGTCCCAGGAGCCGGAGGTCGGGTAAGAGTCAACACAGATAAAAACAATTAGGAGAGTACGACAGACAAAACAAATGAGTGGTAACTGGGCAAAGGGGTTATGCAAGAGAAGACTCACACTTACAGGCTAGGCTTCCAGCAAAAAAAAACAACGGCTGGACGCCTAACGAAAATACTGAAGAGGCCTCAGAGCTGAGGACGCCCCCTTAACTGAACACTTCACGAGACTGTGAGTGACACAATCCCTCTCCCCAGAAGCGACCTACCTCTGCTGGTGGAGGCGCAGGGAATCTGCGTGACTTTGATTTTCCATGAGCGATTGAATCCCGCGGTGGTGGTGGCGATGTTGATCCTGGCGTACCCCGTCCCGCTCGCCAGGTCCAAGTACACTGTACACAAAAGAACAAACCTCGTCAAACGTCTTGTGTGTATTTTTTGGGGGGGTAGGCGAGCGTCTTGTGTTGTGACCACCTTCAGCTTGGTAAATAAAGCTTTACAGTTCTGATATTGGTAATGGCATAAATGTTAATTAATGGGTTAAGGAAGCAGCGCCGTCACCACCAAGCTTACGGAAGAAAACTTTAAGCCAGTATGACTTTATAGCACTTGGAAGGGATATGAGGACAAGGAGTTGGAATATGAGGACAAGGAGCTGGGTATGAGGACAAGGAGCTGGGATATGAGGATTAAGGAGCTGGGATATGAGGATTAAGGAGCTGGGATATGAGGGCAAGGAGTTAACGCTGACCTTGCAATTGAGCTGGAAAGCTGGGATTTTTTTTAATGTAGTTAGGCTTGTCAACTAACTGCAATATTTGATTTTTCCCTAACTGCTATCCTTAATAATCCTTGTGAAGTAATTATTGTGAAATTGCGTACGTATTAAAGTAATCAAAATACATGTCGTTATAAAGTGATGTTAATAAATCCTTGCAGATATTACATAGCTATCTTAAACTAGATGTCTTAACTTCACACACACACACATTCTATTGATCTACTGATCAGTTATTCTACTGATCTCACACTACAGGAGCAAGCAGATAAATGGCTACTAGAAGTCAATCCCAGCAAATGTAAAGTAATAGCAGGATATAGACGCTAAACATGATTGGAAGAGCAGGGAGGAGGAAGTGAGGGAAGGACAGAGTGCTGACAAGTTAGTGATCGAATACCACAATAGTCTACTTGAACCCATCCTGTATATGCGCGAACCATCTAACAGAGCTGTTGATATCGCATGCCCAGTATGCCTACCACAACTCCACTACACCCACCACAACCCTCCCCACAACCCCCCACAACACGCCATAGAGAAGGCCTTACTGTGTTGACCGTCGTTGACGCCACAGATGACGCTGGGGTTGGCTCCACCCGACCCCACCACGGTGAAGGTGTCTTGGTCGCACTGGCTCATGTTGTTGGGGCCCAGGAGCTGTAGCGTGACCAGGTCCAGACGCAGCTGGCACACGTTGGCGTTCATCTGAGTGAGTGAGTGAGTGAATGAGTAACAGGACAGCATATGTATAACCAAAAAGCAGCATACAGCATAGGATAGTATACTCACCTTCTCGATGGTATACTGGCAGTTGTCAATGGCACTGGTGGCGCTGGGGTAGTTGTCGTTGACCAGGAAGGTGGAGTTCCGACTCACTGTTTGACCACACTTGGTGTAATCTGTAATGAGGGCTAGATGACGAGAGGGCAAAAGCCACAGAGCTCCGTCCCCTCCGGTTTGACTTTTGCTGTCGACTTAAGCCAATATGTTAAATTAACCCAAAGGTTTATATATATATATTATACCAAATAGCCAGAACCGCACTTTTTGGTCAAGCATGCAGGGTCAGAGTTGCTGTACGGGGTTATTATTTTCCAAATTGTTTTGTTCCAATTAATATTATTTTATTATATTAAGAGCATGAATTACTGACTTAGGTTAGGTTAGGTTTGATCGTTTATATGTTAATTTGAACTAAAATTAAAAAAACATAAAAAAATGTAATGGGCAACACCTACTTTATCATTCCACAAGAAAAAAATGAAATACTGTATGTAATATCGTATTTCTCGAATATTCGGCTTGTTAGACAACTTGGGCTATTAAGTTCAACGTGCACACACACACACACACACACACACACACACACACACACACACACACACACACACACACACACACACACACACACACACACACACACACACACACACACACACACACACACACACGAGAAACTGCTGTCGTTCGGTTGGCAACACTGGCATCAACAGTGACCGTTCTTGTTAGATAAATATTTTTCTCTGACAGCTGAGCAATGCTGCCATAACAGACACGGTTGAGTGGCACTCACAGACACAACAGACGCCTTAAGAGGCACTCACAGACACAACAGACCCCTTAAGAGGATCTCACAGACACAACAAAACATGGGGTTACTCACAGACGCAACAGACCCCTCGGGGGGGGGGGGGGGGGGGGACCCCGGGGGGGGGGGGGGGGGGGGGGTGCTGCTCACAGCCACAACAAACATCAACAAATGTTGTCTGTACTCACAGCCAACAGATTCCTCAGGGGAGTACACACACACACACACACACACACACACACACACACACACACACACACACACACACACACACACACACACACACACACACACACACACACACACACACACACACACACAACAAACAGTGGGGAAGGGTTACACACATGAGCAACAGACACCATAACCGTTGCCACAGGGTCCTTCGGCCTTTCCACCTTGAGCGGTACACTGGTTGGTTGAGGTACAGGTCCCAGTCTCATTGGTGGAGTTGAGGGTACACTCACTCGGCCGCACTCGCACCGTTACGAACGGTAAGAACTGCAAGCTTAAAACTGAAATAAAAACAAAAAACGCGCAATTTTCGGGCCTGTAAACTTGGAAATTTCTACAATTGTACTAAAACAAAAAACAAAAAAATTACTGCAAAATTCTAAACTCATTACAAAATCAACAATTAAGCTTTCTTAAAAGTTAGGCTGCTACTAGCCTAAGGCTGGTGGGGGAGCGGGGCGTATAGCAATTCAGACTAATTTGGCACATTGTCGAAGGATCTGCAACACCCCAAAACTCACATTTGCCATCACGTTCTTGGTGGTTGTTGTGGCCAGTCTCCTGCACCGCCATAAGCGTGTCTGCTGCCGGAGACGCTGTGGTAGTAGCCTCAAGCACCACCACCATCACCACCACCACAAACATCAGATTAGGTCTCCTGGTGGCCATCTTCCGTCTTTCTGTCGAGTAATAAAATAATAATTGTGTCAATTAGGGTCTTTTGGTAACACGCGGCTTATGGCTCTCGCCCTCTTGACTTCGTATGTATAGTGATTTTGTGCGGTAATGGGTATAAAATGAGTCGCATAAATAATTTGGTGTTAAGGTCTATCAACCTCTGGAAGGTTATTAAAGCCTATCAACCTCTGGACCCTGGAAGGTACAGAAGGTAGAAGTAGAAATTGGACCCCTCAACCCTTTAAAAATGAAAAAGCCTCAATATGAAATAACTAAGGTGTATGTATGGGAGCATGATCTCTGTCTTACCAAGAAACAGTAGTTTGCACGTATATCGAGACGGGTCGGTAGTGGAAGATGACAGGGCAGGGTGAGGTGTCTTCCTTAGGGAATACACTGAGAATGGAACGGTGGACAGGAAAATTGAACCTCGCCTTTGCAATTATATTTCATCCACACAAGCTGAACTGCAGGCCATTCTGGCTGGTTTGGAGGAAATAGTTCAAGGCGTAAAAGATGTTGACTAAAAGATGTGAAAAGTGTGAACTATGTGGTATGTTAAGGTCCCACATCCTCGCCCATTATGTTCTTCATTGCCCGCTGATTGATGTACATAGAAGTACTGAGATGAGAACTGTTCCTGAACAAAGAGCCTGGGATGTGTCCCAACGGAGAGACTGATGATATTCTGGAGACATACCAGCTTTGTACCAACATTGTAACCTTTTGTTAATTTGTCTCAAGGGTTATTTGTAGCCTATTTATTGCTGATTTTGTGTATGTACTTAGTCATTATAGTATGTGTGTGTACGTCTGGTGTTATAGAGCAGGAAGAGTATGTACGTCTGGTGTCGTAGTGAAGGTGTACAGGAAGTGTGTGTACGTCTGGTGTCGTAGTGAAGGTGTACAGGAAGTGTGTGTACGTCTGGTGTTATAGAGCAGGAAGAGTGTGTACGTCTGGTGTCGTAGTGAAGGTGTACAGGAAGTGTGTGTATGTCTGGTGTCGTAGTGAAGGTGTACAGGAAGTGTGTGTATGTCTGGTGTCATAGTGAAGGTGTACAGGAAGTGTGTGTACGTCTGGTGTCATAGTGAAGGTGTACAGGAAGAAATGTATGTTTATCAACCTGAATGTTGGGTAATATGTTGATGGGTTGTGATGTGTGTGTATATATGAACACGTTGTAATGAACGGCGGTGAGAATAGCTACCTCATTCATCCCTTTGTGTGTTTATACCTCAGTAAACGTATTTCAATTTCAACCTCTGGAAGGTTATTAAGGTCCATCATTCTATAGTGGGTTAGTTAGCCTACCAGAAAATCTTATGACCAACCAATAAGCATATTTATATTAGTCCTCTGGCCCATTAGTAAGCATTAGTCCTGAACATAGTCCAAAGCAAACTGTCACTGTATATACACATAAAATTGGGCTGTACCTTTTGATGTATATCCCTTGACGAATAAATTACGCTAAGACGCCTAAATTTTGACGTTTCTGTCGGAAGTGTACAAACTGTTGTAGATTATGGAAAAGGCATTGACAGTTGTCGAAAGCAGTTTTTATGGAAAGTGAATATTATAAGAGTTTCTTAGCTATTACTTTTGTCAATAGCCTCATTATTTCTCGAAGATCAGTAGTTCCACTTTGGGGGGGGGGAGTTGCCCTTGGGAGGTGGTGATCTTTATGGGGGATTAAATACCCCGAAATTACCATCTCTTTTTAAGGGTCTGAGTTTGGTGCAGTGGGTTAAAGGCGTACCTGTTATGCCAGTTGCTGTGAGGTTTCTGTGCTGGCTAAGGTTCGAGTCTCCTGATGGGAAAGTGTTCTAAAGTTGTAAAACTTCACTTGCGTGTTTAGGCAAGTTAATATATATATATATATATATATATATATATATATATATATATATATACATATATATATATATATATATATATATATATATATATATAATATATATATATATATATATATATATATATATATAATGCATATATATATATATATAAAATATATATATATATATATATATATATATATAAATATAATATATATATATATATATATATATATATATATATATATATATATATATATATATATATATATATATATATATATATATATATATATATATATATATATATATATATATATATATATATGTCAGACCACGAAGGAAGGAAGGAAGGATTAAGACACGAATTTTCCTTAAGTACTTAAGGAAAATTCGTGTCTTAATACTTCCTCTTCCGACCGGGGAGCGCTCCGGCGAGAAACAATGGGCAGTTTCTTTCACCCTATGCCCCTGTTACCTAGCAGTAAAATAGGTACCTGGGTGTTAGTCAGCTGTCACGGGCTGCTTCCTGGGGGTGGAGGCCTGGTCGAGGACCGGGCCGCGGGGACTCTAAAGCCCCGAAATCATCTCAAGATAACTCAAGATATTCCTTCGTGGTCTAAGACCAATCCTGGAGTATGCGGCCCCAGCATGGAGCCCGCACCTTGTCAAGCACAAGACGAAGCTGAAAAAAGTCCAAAGGTATGCCACTAGACTAGTCCCAGAACTAAGAGGCATGAGTTTCGAGGAAAGACTGCGGGAAATGCACCTTACGATACTGGAAGACAGAAGAGTAAGGGGAGACAAGGATAAACTATTCAACACTGGTGGTACGCGAACAAAGGGACACAGGTAGAAACTAAGTACCCACATGAGCCACAGGGACGTTAAAAGGAACTTTTTCAGTGTCAGAGTAGTTAACGGATGGAATGCATTAGGCAGTGATGTGGTGGAGGCTGACTCCATACACAGTTTTAAATGTAGATATGATAGAGCCCAGTAGGCTCAGGAATCTATACACCAGTTGATTGACAGTTGAGAGGCGGGACCAAAGAGCCAAAGTTCAACCCCCGCAAGCACAAATCGGTGAGTACAAATAAGTGAGTACACACACATATATGGGGTTGTAATACTCAAGAAAGTACAGTAGTTGAAACATATGATATATTTTGGCTTACCGGTCCAAATCCCCGTTTGTATAGGAGTGCTGAGGCGCTCGTGTTAGGCTATAGCGAGTTTCCTGTCCCAGTATTTTCCTAGTGAGTGAGATCAGCACCGCTAGCGTCCTGAAGGAGTAACTGACAGACAGTGTGGGTGTCACCCCATATATATATACATCCTGGGGATAATTGTCGACACTGTTGACATCAAATTGTATTGACAGAGAAAATTTTAATTGCGGGTTATTTAGGAAGCTGTATGTGTAATTATCTTACTGTATGTATAGGATGAGAAGCTGTGTACATGGTGCCTCCTACCTGCTGTCATGTTGATGCTTTGGTGTGTGTGTGTGTGTGTGTGTGTGTGTTCACCCAAATACTTTACTGTATGTGTTTGTAGCGTGAGGAACAGGAAATTTTGTTTCCCATTGACTATTATTTCGGCCATCTATTGTAGACGGTTGAAATAGATCCTCCGTCTATTATACTCTTAGATCCTTGTCTTATTGTACGATTAGATCCTCCTCATGTTGTCTCTTAGAGTATCTTCTTATTGCACTTAGATCCTACTTCTATCGTACTCTTAGTTCATCATTCTATTGTACTATTAGATCCTTATCATATTGTTATCTTAGACCCTCCTTTTATTGTACTCTGAGATCCTCTTTCTATCTTAGATCCTTCTCATACTGTACTGTTACCTCCTATTGTACTTTCAATAGGAAATTATTAATTTTTATATTATCACCTTTTCTCTATACGAGTCTCCTTTCATCATTTATTTGTTCCTTCGTGAGTTTGATCTGTGCTGTATAGACAAAGAGCAGAACATAGCGGTTACTGCCTGCTGGCGGAGCCTCACTTGTTATGCTCTCAGTGTCAGCTGCATTCTTGCTGATGACCACTCTGTCTGGTCCAGCAGGTAGACCCTCTCGCCTCGGTCATGTAGCTTCTTTCACCTCCGGTGTTTGGAGATCTATGTCTCAGGTTTCCCCCAGCTTTGCTTCGCTTGATTCAGTAACTTGGTGGGGGTGAGGGGGGGTTGTCTTGATTCTCAGTCTGTCTTTCCGTGGTTAGAGTCTTCTATGATTAGGAACTTTGTTTGAGCTGTTTCTGTTTTTTTATAGAATATGTTTTAAGCGAGTGCTGACAAGACCTTCCTGTTTGTTGTTCGCTGGTGTGGGTAGACTGTTGATAACCACCATCACTGTCCTCTTGCCTTCTGCTGTTACTATATAATGAACTCTATGAATCCATTCATAACTACAGCACTAATTTCCCCAGCGTTCCTTTCTCGTATGATTAAAAAGGCAATTCCCCCTCTGTTCTATATTTTCTTCCGTTGTGATCTGGTAATCCACAGGGAACACTGCATCTGTGATTTTTTTCTGAAATTGTTTCCCCCCACTATTGTTATTATATCACGGTCTGTTTCCTTAAATCTTTCAGTTCACTCTTCTTGTTGGATCTTCCCTCTGCATTTGTGCATTTAGGTGCTAACATATGAAACCTGTATATCTTTCCTCAATTATGGCGATTTAGCTTGGATTTATTAAACAATTTATGAGCTCAGAAGTGCTACGAGGTTCTTCATAACGATAATAACTTTTGCTTGAGAAGAGTCTCACAGCCGTTTCGAATCTCATAAACTGTTTATTAAATTAAGACTAACCAGCTATGATCGAGGAAAAATGCACTGGTTTCTTCCACTTATATTATATTATTTTCTCTGAAGGACACTATCTCTAGTTTCCTCGACGTGGACAGGAAGCTGGCGGCTTGTCAAAGGTCCCCCGCCTCCAAAAATCCCTGAGGATTTTTCCAACCAGATTTTACACCGAAGTCCTGGCACTTACTGCATCGCCGGGTGGGCCATTCCATGGATATATAATTCTAAAAATCCTGCCTCTGGAGACTCCTGTTAGAATTTTGTTCTGTATTTTCTGTTAGCTTAGCATGGGATAATGGTGGCTGCGCTCCGGTGGTCCAGAGACGGGATAGCTTTAGGCTGCTTGGGGAATAGGAAACCGAGGAAGGTAAAGGGAAGAGGAAGGAAAGGGAAGAGGAAGGAAAGGGAAGAGGAAGGTAAAGGAAAGAGGAACAACAGTGAGGGTGTTGGGAAAGATGTCTGGATGTGGGGAGTGAAAGTAAGGTGCATAGTAAAGGGGAAGGGGAGGAAACGGGGGTAGATTTGTGGTGAAGAAGGGGGCAGGTTGTGGGGGGTCGGGTAGAGGAGGGGGAGGGCCGGTGGAAGTAGAAAGGGAACTTGTTCTTGGAGGGGTAGAAGGCATTGGGCACTGAAGAGTGAGTCGTGAGAAGATTCTTGAGTCATGTACAAGAATGTAAGAACTTTTGTATATATAAATAAATAAATAAAAATAAAAAATAAAAGTACATGAGAAGGGGGGGTGCAAAAAAAGGGCACTTTATGATATTGAGCAAATGTATGTATGTATATGTGTGTGTGTGTGTGTGTGTGTGTGTGTGTGTACTCACCTAGTTGTGTTTGCGGGGGTTGAGCTCTGGCTCTTTGGTCCCGCCTCTCAACCGTCAATCAACAGGTGTACAGATTCCTGAGCCTATCGGGCTCTGTCATATCTACACTTGAAACTGTGTATGGAGTGAGCCTCCACCACATCACCCCCTAATGCATTCCATTTGTCAACCACTCTGACACTAAAAAAGTTCTTTCTAATATCTCTGTGGCTCATTTGGGCACTCAGTTTCCACCTGTGTCCCCTTGTGCGTGTTCCCCTTGTGTTAAATAGACTGTCTTTATCCATTCTTTATCCACTGTCTTTATGTCTTTATCTTTTATTTGTGTGTGTGTGTGTGTGTGTGTGTGTGTGTGTGTGTGTGTGTGTGTGTGTGTGTGTGTGTGTGTGTGTGTGTGTGTGTGTGTGTGTGTGTGTGTGTGCATGCGTGCGTTCATACATGCAGGCGCGGGTGGAGGTTCCCCATGTATACATTGAGGTGCGAGTGGGTATTACACTCAGGCTCCCTTCTCTCCTCCCAAAAAGTTAACCCCGAGGCGCTACGCCTGTTAGTGGACAATTCAATTTCTTTCTTTATTATGCACCCCATACCCATCCCGTGGGCGGTGGTGTAAAGGGTTACAGAGGCACATAATCGGTTCAGGAACTGAACCCTCTAGTTCGTTTAGCTAAGCAATTAACAATCTTTTGACGCTAGTTACACAACTATTAATGTTATATATACATATACACATACTCATACATAAATGTACATATTGTCACGGTAAAATCTCTAGGAAGAGATTCGGCCTGCTCCGTCATCACCTATTCTACCCATATCACTTCTATATATTCAAGTACTGCAGCCACAAGAACAACAACAACCACGACTACTCCCAGACGTCTAGACAGTACCTCCAGTCTCCCTCATACACCACTGCCCCGTCACCCCACCTCGCACCTGGGTCGCTGGGAGCTCACGCCATCTCAAACAAGCAGTTAAAAGTGAGCCGGTTCATAGTTACCGAAGTCATCAGCGCCATCTACACGGCCGTCGTCGTATATATATAGGTCTACCTAGCCCACTATAATTCAGATTACTCCTGAGTGCTCTACTGAGTAGACCTGTTGACATATCTTGGTATGGTAACGGAGTTATTCAGTCTGGCTCACAGTATTCCCGCACCATATTTTATTTTGCATCTTAACGTAATGTAAATTTGATTATATATATATATATATATATATATATATATATATATATATATATATATATATATATATATATATATATATATATGCGGAAAATCCACAGAGGTGAAACGTGAATGAAATGAGGTGAACGTTTCGGCTTGTTAAAGCCTTTGTCAACACCAGACTGACTGACTAGTCAGTCTGTCAACACCAGACTAGTCAGTCTGGTGTTGACAAAGACTTTAACGAGCCGAAACGTTCACCTCATTTCATATTTCTCTGTGGATTTTCCGCATATATATATATATATATATATATATATATATATATATATATATATATATATATATATATATATATATATATAAGTAGTGGCAAGAATGTACAAATACCAACCTTATGTAATTTCACCATTGGCTGAAGACGCCATACATGCTTATGATGAGGTGTAGGGTGGTGTATGGTGAACAACATGGGTGGTGAACAACATGGGTGGTGAACAACATGGGTGTAGTGTACCAGCTGAGTGGAAGGACGGGACTTCCGGTCACAGGGAAGAACCTTGACCACAACGCTATCAACAGGATGCTGCAGCACCACCATGGGACTCCCACCATGGGACTCCCACCATCACCACCATGGTGACTCCCACCATCACCACTATGGTGACTCCCACCATCACCACCATGGTGACTCCCACAATCACCACCATGGTGACTCCCACCATCACCACCATGGTGACTCCCACCATCACCACCATGGTGACTCCCACCATCACCACCATGGTGACTCCCACCATCACCACCATGGTGACTCCCACCGTCACCACCATGGTGACTCCCACCATCACCACCATGGTGACTCCCACCATCACCACCATGGTGACTCCCACCGTCACCACCATGGTGACTCCCACCGTCACCACCATGGTGACTCCCACCGTCACCACCATGGTGACTCCCACCGTCACCACCATGGTGACTCCCACCGTCACCACCATGGTGACTCCCACCATCACCACCATGGTGACTCCCACCATCACCACCATGGTGACTCCCACCATCACCACCATGGGACTCCCACCATCACCACCATGGGACTCCCACCATCACCACCATGGTGACTCCCACCATGGGACTCCCACCATCACCACCATGGTGACTCCCACCATCACCACCATGGTGACTCCCACCTGAGGGTGAGGGGTAACGCCATTGGGGATTGAACGCGGACCTGCAAGAAGCGAGACCGTCGCTCTACCGTCCACCTCAAGCGTTGGTGCTTCCACTAGAATTAATTTAAGGGCAATGCTATCCGTTATTTTACCCGTTTTCTGTAGCAGTGTGGGCTGCGTCCCTGAGCCACAACTGAGGGGGACCGTGGTTCAATCTCCGCCCGGGACCGAAACTAGTTGGGCTCGTTTCCTTTCACCTGATGCAACTGTTTACCTAGCCGTAAAATAGGT